TCATTTTCTATGTACAATTTAGAAATTTTGGCATTTATCTATTTCTGATAAATACTTTAAGAATGCAAATTGCAAATCTCACTTTAAGTACTCAAGTTACAAATCTGCGCTACACAAGCTTTTAAGCCAGTCAATGGATAGTCAACACTTCCAGATCATGACCTGGTCTAGTGGAGGGTGTCCCTGCCCATGGCAGTGCGGTTGGAAGTAGATGACCTTTAAGGTCCCTTTCAACTCTAACAACTCTGTGATTCTATGATCCAAAGCTCCTCCTGTCTGCTTGTAAGAATATTTTAACCTAAACGCCTCTTCTGTCAATGGTCTTGCTTGATGAGGAAGCTTTTGACTCAGACCTAGAGGCCTTTTCTTGAAAACCTGAAATCATAACACATTCTCAATAGCAAGCCACAGTGAAGCCATACCCAGCTTCACTCTGGGTATTGAATTTGTTATATTTTGTAATGCAGTATGTCCATATAGTTTCATTTCTCCCAAGCACTGCCATAGGCTGCAAGAAGGAAAAGAGACATTAGGAGACTACTTAGTACTGTATTAAACAGTAATAGAAGCACCTGGATTTCTCTATAAGAAGTTCTACATGGCTGAGGCTTCTAAGTAAAGCTAACTCATGTGAGTGCATGACAGCAAAGAGGCTGTTGTGGCTCCTCTGGCTAGTGTCATTCATTAACTTAGTAAAAACATATCTGGTAAATAGCTGACTGTATCAGTGCCTGGTTTGCCTGTTTCAGTCCTAGAGCGAGTCTACCCCCAGACATATGAATAAGAGTTAACCACATCTTCTGCTGTCTTTGTCCTTCATAAATAGCAAATTATTAGAAGATCAAAATGCATGTTTTGATAGAAAGCAGAGAATTCTCAGGTGGCCAGCTCTGAGGCACTGAGTTTCATGATGAATTTTATTTTTTAATTTCACATATATTCTAGGAAAACCTTTGAGTACTCCAGATGCACACAGACACTGTCTTGAAGACCCACAACAAAAGACAAAATATAGAAGAAAGTAAAACCTGTAGGAATACATAATCACAGATCTTCAATATCTCCCTTGAGGAATGTCAGCGGTCACTAACAAAGTGCTTGAAGTCAGTCACAATCTAAAGTCATTTAAAGAAACAGCTGGTAGGTAAATTGGATTATTAGAGCAATATTTATCCCTAATTCAGGTCTTAGTCCTAGACAGGTTTATAGGATAGCGTATCACTTCAAGTTAGACACCACAGGTATGGTGTCCAAAAAAATTATTGTCAGAGGAATGCAATTCAAATGGAGATTATTCTTTTTTTTCTATTAAAACATCATTTCTTTTTAGATATAAAATACAGGGTTTTTTTGTTTGTTTGTTTTTTGTTTTTTTTTTCCATCTAAAACAGTGGTCTAACTGATAAAGAAAGTAGATTCTCTGTTTGTTTTCCAGACAGACCATGGATCCAGGGGAAAAGATAAAACTATTAAGGCAACAGTCTTGAAGTAAGGCTTTCCTTTTCACATGCATACTAGAATCCTTCAAGAAGACAATGCGGTGAGCCATAAGAAGCTTTTAGGCATATAAATATAGTATAAGATTATAGTATACTTTTTTTTCCAGTATTTAAGTGTAAGTGTCAATGTAAGTTTTCAGTACATGAGTGATTTTGTTCTTGCTAATTTTATAGGTGAAGGGAGAGATGGAGGGAGATTCTAAAATTAACTCAGAAAAAAAAAACCCAAACTGTAAAGGAAAAAGAACTTCACCTTTCAGCTGTGGAAATGCATTCCCAATGCATAGTTTGGTTTTTTTGCCTGTTTTAAGCAGTCTTCTGTGAAGTGACCTGGATGAAGTAAACGTTAGCCTTGAGTATATGCTCCACATGTCTGTATGTCTTGGTGGAATGAAGTTGCTGAGTGAAGGAAGGATTCTGCCAAACTGATGAAATCTCATTGCAGTTTCCTTGCTACTTAGGAATTAAGAAACCTACAGACTGCTTAAAATATAAATAAAAATTGGACAAATGCTCAGTGTAAGTGCTCATTGTTTAAGTTGAAGACATCTAGAATATTGATCACTCACTGTAGTGCTCAGGAAGAACTCCAGCAAGTCCATTGTCCCTCTTTCTAACTCTCAGGCTGGGAATAGCATATACTTCGACATCAAGAAATGCTGAAGGCACTAATGTAAGAGGCACAAAGATTTCACTGTAAGCAAGAAGGAGAAGAATATCCCTTGAAAAAAGTAATCTAATTGGGTAGGCAGCTAAGATTATGGGGTATGGCTTGCCTTTTCTTAGTGCTTTATGGAAACCCAGAAAAAGCAACCAATGGGGAAAGTATAGTCTGTTATGGACATCCTTTATAAGTTGTAGTGGGTGCTTTGTTTTACAGCTTAGAAAGTAACACCAGCCCTCCAGATTCTGCGACTGGTGAAATCTGTCTTAAAATATGGAGTCTCCCTGCCCAGAAAGCAGTACAGCAATTAGGTCTTTCCAGAGCTGCACCTGGTCCCTAGGAGCACGGGCAGGGCAGAGCCACTTTCCTAGGTGTATGGTGGAATCTGGCGTAAAAAGGAGGCAAGCATTCTTCCCTTCATGAAATGATCAATTAAGGCGAGCTGTGATAAATTCATGCAACAAGATGAGGTGCTAGACTCCAAGACACATTAGGGCTGCAGAAGTGTTTGAGATGATAGCTATCTATCTGAGCCATTTGGCATGATGCCTCCAGTTCCAAAAATATCATTTCCTATCAGCTCATGTCACTGCTGTTCCAGCTGATGAATGTGCAAACCACCAGTTGGATGATTTGGAATTAGCTGTGGATAGTGGGTGGGAAGAATTGAATAAGAGGAGTAGGACAGATAAGAACTGCACAGCAATAAGAAATAATTTCCTCCTCCTCTTTTAGCTTCACTACTCATTGCTGTCTCTATGAAGACAGTTCTGGCTTTTTTGATTCTTCCTGCTGTAATTTTCAGCATTTTTACTGGTATGTACAATATACCAATACACAGGTGAGAATCGGTGGAGGAGAAAATTAGTATCTGAAAGAGAAAAAAGACTATCAAAGTGCCTGAGGTGTTGTAATCTACAACTGTACTTCTTGATTAGAAAGTTACATTAAAATTGTGTGGTGTGTGGTGTACTTCAGTTCCACATTACTGCTTGAAATGGACACAGCGTAAACTAGCTGCAAGTTTTCATACACTTATTCTTGGAAGAATCACTGTAAAAGAAGAAGCTGTCAATATGTTAGGCATCAGGCCAGGAGAACTAAGCAGACCAATATTTTTATAAATTCTTAAATACCTTGAAAATGTTGCCCTCAACGCTGGAAAAGGTTGTCCATCAACTTCTAATTGAAGAGAGAGAATAAGAGGTTTGACTTGAGATCTTCCTGGGAAAAGGAATGTCTAAAGTTAAAGTTAAAGTAAAAAGTTTACAAAAGTTAAAAGGAAGATCCTGGTTAGATAAACAAAGCCTCACAATCTTTTCTGTAACTTCAAACAGAAAGGAGTGTAATGTGAAGACACTTGATTTTGTGGTTTTACATACATACCCAAATTCATTCATCCCACTAGTAACTCAGTTCTGCCTTCCTCTGTTTCCTTCCCTTCCTTAGAAGCATAAAAAGAAGTACTAACAAAAAGAAGTAATTGAAAAAATGTAAGTTTTGAAAATGAAATTATATTAGAAGAAAATGGTCCAAAATGCTAAAAGGTGGTTCTTGTATTTCTCATGGGGCAGTGCACAGAACTGTTGTTTTTTTTTCAATTCACAAGAGTATCTGGAGGTTAATAAGGATATTCTTACTACTACAGAAGGATATGGCACATAGATATATGCAGACCACATTATCGAGTTGTCTAGAATAATTGCATTTTGAATGATGCAGAGCCTAGAAAGCTTATCTTTCCTTATCTCTGGGTTTTCAGTGGCTGCCAAAGACAGAGCACTGAAGCAGAGAGAGTAAACCAAGCAACTAGGAATATGCAGAGGAATGCATTCTGGAACCTGCCAGCCTGCGGCTGCTCACCTTCCATATAATTAATTTTTTTTACATAACCCCAGAATAGAATATATTACACTGTAGAATACGTCCTCTGCTGTCAATAAAAGAGCAGGAGCCAGTGATGTCTGCAGATTCTTTCTTGGTTAGGACCATGGCAAATAGAACTATATACTTAAAACTTCCGTTTATGAAAGCACCCAGAAAACAAAGGCAGTATGAAGAGACTTAGCAGACTCAGTCTTCCAAGGAAGGTTCTGATGGGCTTGTATGCTTTTAGAAAGAATGGATAGCCATGAGCAGAAGTGTAAGAAAAGTATATGCTCATCATCTAAAATGGGAACATTCTGCTTCCACACTTACTCCCAGGACATTCAATCAAGTATGCAACTGCTAAATAAACCTCACTTGAGCTTTTCAAGACCTAATGGTGGAAGGTACCTTCTAGTTGGAACAAGTCCAGAGAAGGGCCACGAGGATGATCAGGGGACTGGAGCACCTTCCCATATGAAGACAGGCTGAGGAAGTTGGGGCTGTTCAGCCTGGAGAAGAGAAGGCTGCGTGGAGACCTCATAGCAGCCTTCCAGTATCTGAAGGGGGCCTATAGGGATGCTGGAGAGGGACTCTTCATTAGGGACTGTAGTGATAGGACAAGGGGTAATGGGTTAAAACTTAAACAGGGGAAGTTTAGATTGGATATAAGGAGGAAATTCTTTCCTGTTAGGGTGGTGAGGCACTGGAATGGGTTGCCCAGGGAGGTTGTGAATGCTCCATCCCTGGCAGTGTTCAAGGTCAGGTTGGACGAAGCCTTGGGTGACATGGTTTAGTGTGAGGTGTCCCTGCCCATTGCAGGGGGGTTGGCATGTGATGATCTTAAGGTCCTTTCCAACCCTAACTATTCTATGATTCTATGATTCTATGATCTGTTTCAATACTTCTACCAAATTCAATTGATTGTGCAGAGGGTTTGCAGGATCAGGCCCCTAAAGGATAACTTTCAGTTCTTTTATTTAGTTTTGAAATATTTCTAATATTCATTCAAAATATGGCTGAAGGTGGTTGTTAGAGTAGACTAATTCATAAATAGAGGCCAGGATATTCAACTTCAATTCAATCGCTTTCTTGCACTGATGAAAATATAACTGACATTCTTAAATAAAATGCACACTTCCAAGTGCAGGATGCAGAGGTTTACAGAGTAATAGATTTTAGAGTAATTTGCTACTGAGAGTTACCAAAACCTTCAACATGTATTTTTAAATCAGAACGTCATCATGGATTTAGAAGGCATCAGATTGGGCAGATTTTGCTAATAAACCTAACCCAAGTATTTCTTCTCTGTGCTTCTAATTTGAAGTTTTTCATACCTTAGAAAGGACTACCCCACTTAAATCCAATTCTGTCTGATAATTTAGACATGAGAAAAACAGAAGCAAGTATTTGGAATAAATACAATTAACATTTGTGTAATTTTTTTTCAGTTAAATCTCACTGGAATCACAGAGCAACAGCAAGAACAGTGAAGTTTCAAAGAGCACAACAGAATTTCTGTTCTTTTAGAATTACCACTGCATTAGTTTTTGTTTGTTTGCAGGATTTTCCTTCTGAGGAGAAAAAGAACTGCTCTTCAATCACATCTACCATTCATTTTTTATCAACTATTGTGTGAAAGAGACACACATTTTTTTTGAGATGATCAAGTCCTTCAGAAGACAAAAAAAAAACCCAGAATTTTGGGTTTAGGCATGTTTTAACTCTAGTCATTTCTAACCATTTGACATCCAAAGGGTAGTAACAAGCCATTGCTATTTCGTTTTGAATCTGTTTTGTTTGCTTAATAATAATTATTAAGACTGTCTGTAAAATACGTAATCTAGTTTAACACCGTAAAGCTAGTTCTTAAAAATGGGTAGTTTAAGAATTTAATGCACAAAAGCTTAAAAAAATACAAAACAGCTTTATGTTAGTTGGTAGTTTAGGAAAAAATGAAAACGACATTTTCCTACATGTGGTTACTATTCCATGATTATTCCAAATGAGTTCCCATAATGCCCTTTCTAAGTGAAATGAAAAGTGTTCAGTCTTCAGCTCAGACCCAGGGAACAACTGCTGTGAGTAAGGACTGCAATATTTAATTTTATGGAAGGAACAAAAAATGTCCTTTGGCACACATGTTTTTCAATTTTGTAAAATAACTTTGAGAGAAAAAATAAGAATGCATGAGAGCACTTTTTAGTAAATTATAATCTGAAGAAAGTCACATATTCCTAGTGCTATTATATAGTGATTTTTACTCATGGCCTATCAACTATGATCTGCTACAATGACACAAACAAGCAGGAATCTTTTCCTGCTTCAAGTACTTTAAAAATCAATGACCATCCTGTGTTTAACCAGTCATAAAAAAGACAGTTAAAAGCTTGAAAAAATTTAGAAGTTATGCCTACAGCTGCCTCAGTGATAGGCAAGTCTTTTATTTATAACAAAATAATAGCTTTCTCATAACTCTTCCTTTTCACCTTAAGTTAAAACCAATATGTGTAGGTAAGTGGCTACTTCCATGAATCCCAGTAACGTCCATGTTTTGATCACACCAGACACATTTCCTACTGTCATTTGGTAGTTTCTCTATAGCAAGGAGATCACCGATGAAATATTTCCCAAAATCTATGGGACATAGCTCAAGCAAGACTAAATACAAATAAGTGGATTCATCAGCTTTGGCTTATTTGCCAGCGCCAGTGTATGTTGCTATGAGCCTCAGGAATATGGCAGCATTCTGAAGAAAGTATAGGAATGAAAACCAAAAATTACATATTTAAACTTTGCCTGAATTATGTATAACTTCTATGCCAAGGGAGAACAGTAGAGATTGTAACATACAGTCATTATTCATAAACATTGCTTACACTACAAATTCAACTGAATTTGGTAAGGATCTTTTGCTTAAAATGAACAGCAGTAAGGAGAGAATTCTTCCCCACTTTTCTTTTTTCAGGCAATTACATATTAAAATTCTTCATTAGGCTTTGTGACGGTGAAGGTTAATGTGGCTTTTATAATTTGAGATGAAACTGACAGCATCCTTCACTTTTTCTCCACTTTCACCATCCCTCCGCAGCGTGAAAACACAGCAGTCTTCACCACTACAGGCAACATTTAAAGATAGAGGTATCCAACCCAGTAGACCAGGTTAAACAGCAGGAAGGATGTAGGAAAAAAGACCCTAGAGTAAGAGTCCAGTTCTAAGATGTCTATGTGAATCCGTCCTCTCCTCCATGAGCCTGATTTACACTCTTCATAACAACAGAAAAAGCTCTGGCAGTCTTTCCCATCCAGACATTCATAGACACACGCATCTTCAAATTCTTGCCAGTACATGGCATTGTTCAGTGTGATGACTGTAGCTGGTGGTCTCATATCAAGTACAGAATAATTCTGAGGAGAGAAAAAGAAACCAACATTTTGATAAGCTTCCATGAATGATACAAATCAAAATTAAGAATCATGAGGAAAAAAAAATTACAGGAGCTGAGAATAAGAGGTTGATACTGTAGTAATTCTAGATCTAGAGAGCATCTTTCTTTCCCTCAAAAGACGCCTTTTCAGCTGAAATTTCCATCAAGACATTGAGGAGTAGAAAGTTAAATAATTCTAGATGTATTTCCTGTTTGGGTAACTCAAATAATCTTTTTTTTTTTTTCTCACACTTAGGAGTTCATTTGCCTGTCAGAATGCTATTGTCAAGTTTCCTTAAACACTTGTAGCTACTACATTTAAGAGTGGATTCTGAAAAACAAGTAACATGTTGCCCCCCATCATTTCATTACAGAATAATCTCCAGCTACTATAGTTTCATTTACTGCCTTTGAACTTTACCATAAATTATAAAAACAGATATGGTCAACAGATAGTGATTATTTCAGTACAGGATTTCAAAAAGCCACCCCTAGGCATTGTGCCCTTTAGTGTGTATGGCACTAACCATGCTCAGAAATAGGACATTTTGATATCACGCATCCTCACAGCACTATTCACTCCTACAGACCTCTCCTTCTCCAGTATACTCCCTATTTGCACTTTGTCAGCTTTTCTATCACACCATTTCCTTTTCATGAAAGGTGCTTTCTTACAACAGTTTCCTCTCTCATCAAGCCACCCATTCTATCCTCACAAATGTCACTTCCTCTACTGGCATCTACTGTCCCATCAGATTCACTGCCTGTCTGCATCACCCTGACAAAGCAGACTCCAGCCCTGCCAGTGCAGTTTTTTCTACCTCAGGGGACCTTCCTCTCCCTGTGATTGCACTGAGCATTGCCTCTGCCTGCAGGAGCATGCTGGGTGTCCATTAACAATCTAGTCATACCTCTGCTTCATGCCTGCATGCATTCTGCAGGACAATCTGGGCCCCTGCTTCCACACTTACAATACAAAGTACTTAGCATTTCCTGTTGAAGGTGGCGGGGTGCACCTGAAAACTTTCACTTTGGATGTGAAACAGATCAGAAATAGGACTGACGTGCCTTGGTGGAAATTTTCCTTTTTCACAGTATCACAGTATGCTAGAGATTGGAAGGGACCTCAAAAGATCATCTAGTCCAATCCCCCTGCTGGAGCAGGAACACCTAGATAATGTTACACAGGAATGTGTCCAGGTGGGTTTTGAATGTCTCCAGGGAAGGAGACTCCACAACCTCCCTGGGCAGCCTGTTCCAGTGTTCCGTCACCCTCACTGAGAAGAAGTTCCTTCTCAAGTTTAAGTGGAACCTCTTGTGTTCCAGTTTGTACCCATTACCCCTTGTCCTAGCATTGTTTGCCACTGAGTAGAGCCTGGCTCCATCCTCGTGACACTCCCCCTTTATATATTTATATACACTAATAAGGTCACCCCTCAGTCTCCTCTTCTCTAAACTATAGAGACCCAGCTCCCTCAGTCTTTCCTCATAAGGGAGATGCTCCACTCCCTTCATCATCTTCGTTGCCCTGCGCTGGACTCTCTCCAGCAGCTCCCTGTCCTTCTTGAACTGAGGGGCCCAGAACTGGACACAATATTCCAGATGGGGTCTCACCAGGGCAGAGTAGAGGGGAAGGAGGACCTCTCTCAACCTACTAACCACCCCCCTTCTAATACACCCCAGGATGCCATTGGCCTTCTTGGCCACAAGGGCACAGTGTTGGCTCATGGTCATCCTGTCGTCCACTAGGACCCCCAGGTCCCTCTCCCCTACACTGCTCTCTAACAGGTCGTTCCCCAACCTATACTGGAACCTGGGGTTGTTCCTGCCCAGATGCAGGACTCTACACTTTCCCTTGTTATATTTCATCAAGTTATTCCCTGCCCAACTCTCCAGCCTGTCCAGGTCTCGCTGGATGGCAGCACAGCCTTCTGGCGTGTCAGCCACTCCTCCCAGCTTAGTGTCATCAGCAAACTTGCTGATAGTACACTCAATTCCCTCATCTAAATCGTTGATGAATATATTAAATAATACTGGTCCCAGTACTGACCCTTGAGGCACTCCACTAGTTACAGGCCTCCAACTAGACTCCGCCCCATAGACTACAACTCTCTGGCTTCTCTCCTTCAGCCAGTTCACAGCCCACCTCATTACCTGATCATCCAGTCCACACTTCCTCAATTTAGCTGTGAGGATGCTGGGGGAGACTGTGTCAAATGCTTTGATGAAGTCAAGGTAGACCACATCCACCGCTCTGCCATCATCCATCCACCGTGTTATTTCCTCATAAAAGGCTAAGAGATTGGTCAAACATGATTTCCCCTTGGTGAAACCATGTTGACTGCCCCTCATAACCCTCTTATCCTTAATATGCCTTCAGATGGCACCAAGGATGAGGTGTTCCATCACTTTCCCAGGGATGGAGGTGAGGCTGACCGGTCTATAGTTACCCAGGTCCTCCTTCTTGCCCTTTTTGAAGACTGGAGTGACATTTGCTTTCCTCCAGTCCTCAGGCACCTCTCCGGTTTCCCAAGACTTGGTAAAGATGATGGAGAGTGGTCTAGCAATGACTTCCGCCAGTTCCCTCAGCACCCGCGGGTGCATCCCATCTGGACCCATGGATTTATGGATGTCCAGATTGCTCAACTGGTCTCTAACCCATTCCTCATCGACTAAGGCAAACCGCTCCGTTGACCTGACTTCATCTAAGGTCTCAGGGGTACAGGGCTCTTCAGGACTGCCTGCAGCAGAGTAGACAGAGACAAAGAAGGCATTCAGTAACTCTGCCATCTCTGTATCTTCTGTCACCAGGGCACCCATCCCGTTCATCAGTGGGCCTACATTGCCTCTGGTGTTAGTTTTATCTGCCATGTATTTGAAAAAGCTCTTTCTGCTGTCCTTGACCCCTCTCGCCAGATTTAATTCTAAGGAGGCCTTAGTCATCCTAGCTGCCTTCCTACATCCTCTAGCAGCAGCCTTATATTCCTCCCAAGTGGCCAGCCCCTCCTTCCATGACCTGTAAACTCTCCTCTTCCACTTGAGCATACCCAGCAATTCCCTATTTAGCCATGCAGGTCTCCTGGACCTCTTCCTTGACTTCCCACATGTCGGGATGCTCTGATCTTGAGCTCGGAAAAAGCAATCCTTGAATGCCAACCAACTATCTTGGGCCCCTTTACCTTCAAGCAGCCTTGCCCATGGGATTTCCCCTAGCAATTGCTTGAAAAGGCTGTTGACTTCATTTTCTTTCTACAAGCCCTTTGGTTTGGCACACAATACTACTACCCATTTCATTAAAAATGCTGATCCCTGAGCTAAGAATTTGATGTGGCATCCTTCTGCTTAGATGTTGGCATCTCCAACATAGTTAACTACACCTGAGCAACTGTCCTATGGTATCCAGCCAATTACTTCTAGGACTCAATTCATTTCATCATAAGTAAATGGCTAAAATCTCATAGGTGAGTTGTGCTGTGGACTGTGAATATATTGCCATTTAGAAGCAGATTATTCCAAATCTATTTGTTGTGAATGACTTTATATCTGAGATTAGATGACAGAAATTACACCCTCATGGTCTTCTCTCCCATTTGTGAAATTTCAAGTGGCTGGTTTCGGAGGTTTACAGTATGCTGTACACGGAAAAAGGCTAAGATTATTGCACAAGCAATCATTTTTTGACTGCAGCACTTTGGAGAGAAAAAAAGCTATGACTAAAGAGTATATGGAGTTCTACTATACCACTGTGACACATATTGTTCATTTATTTCAGTCTTTTATGAAAATTTCCTACTCAGGGACTGAAATTTTCTATGCCTGGCTATAATACTTATAATAAAAAGTAAGGTTAAGTTAGACCTCTCCAGATGATTTTGATAAGTGAAGATAAATAAGTGCCCTAGTGCTGAAAAGGAAATTTTCTCATCTATCAATAGCCTGGGGTTTTTTTTGTTATTGTTTTATCAACTATCTGCTCATGACAGATGAGAAAATAAATGCCCTGATTAATTTGATTGCTCGTAGGGGTACTGAAGTGACTAGATACAAGGTGAAGGTGGATGGTACCCACTGAGTCCTGTACGTCTTGCTGAGCTGGGGTTGGGAGGAAAGGGGTGCACAGCCAGCGGGCACGATCCCAGTACCCAGCACTGAAATAAAATTATTTCAGACAAGATATAAGTGTGGAGGTTTCTCTAGGAGAAAAACAAGGGTTGGGATTACCTAAGCATGGGTTTACTAAGATTAATAAATTTCACCTTTTAGGTGGCATCACTAGAAGTCTGGAAAGCACAAGATGATACCTTGAGAGTCAGAGATATATGCAGGTTGTGTTACAGTTTGAACATGGAAGTTGTTTGTGTATAGGAGAGGGCCCTGCTCGATATCTGTCTTATACTGACAAAAAAGGAGAGAGGGAGAGGGAGAAGAAGAGGGAAAGGGAGGGGAGGGAAAAGGAAAAAGAAGAGAGTTTGGAGAGGGAGAGGGAGAAGGAAAAGGAAAAATAAGAGGAAGATGGAGAGGGAGAGGGAAATGGAAAAGGGAAGGGCTTGCAAAGGCTGCAGATATTTTCCAAGCAGATCAGATTGACTAGATCTAGCCAAAGACTAAGTGTTAAATCCTATTGTCATTTAATTGTGTATCTTTTCCATTTTTTTTTTTTTTTAAATGGAAAAAGTACCGCTACCCAGTCAATGTGCCCTATTAACTTATTCTTTCAGATAAGTCTGTTTAGGGAGTGACAGCAGTAGTGAGTGCACAAATGCAATGCTTGCTGTAAAAATGCTCATTGTCAATGAGCAGATTTTCAATGCTATAGAGCCCTTTAAATACATCAGAAAACTCATGGAAAAAAAAACAACCAAAACTGAAAATAAAATCTAGAACATTATTTGTTAAGGAGCAAGCAGTTGTAAATGAAAAACTTCAGTATATTCAAACCAAGAAATGCAAAAGCAATGCTTCATTTCTGTCCCTGTTCTTATTTGGACCTGGTAACTAGGAATCAGGCCACCCAAGCAGCTAAGTAACTAGCCCTCTATATGCTTTTATATATATTAGTATGGATTGCAGTTTCACATTTCATACAACTTGGAGACACAATTTGGTGCTCAGTTTCAGATTTATCACTTCTGTATGCATACAAACAGTTATGAGGAGGTTTCAGGAATAGAATTTATTGCATTTTTAGATATAGTACAACTAACTGTGTTCAACTTGCATGCCTAAATAGTTTGAAAATCTACTTGAAAGCTTATTAAAGATTTTACAGATACGCATAAATGAATTATTTTTCATGAAACTTAGTAAAAACTCCATGTAAGTTTGTGATATAATTTGTGCTTACTACTTTTTTTATAAAATGTAGTGAGAAACTGCAGTATTGCATAAAGCAGACACACAATTTCTGGGGCAAAAATAATATGCAATATTATACACTTGACCCTTCTCTCTCCCAAATAATCTGATAAGTCCTTATTGAAAGAGGCAGCTATGTTCCTCTGCCACAGCCAAAACCAAACTGGCCTTTTAACAAAAAAAGTAAAGCAATATTTATAGAAAATTCAGGGTAAAGTGTAACAGCATTACAGCTTTCTCAGGAATTATTGCAAGTAAATGTCAACCATACATTCATGCCTCCATTGCTTTCACTGAATAGTTTACTTACCATCACATGGCCAAAACTGACATCAGGTAGCTTAAATGAAGATAACAAAATAATTATTCAGAAGGAAACATTACTTCATATGCATCTAATGTTCAATAGCGTTTTTTAAATCTAGCATTTAAATGCATTTGCCCATAAAACAATTCATGCTGAATATTCTGTATATTCAGGGTAAAATCTATACACTTTAAAACTGCATGAAACTTCAGTAGAGTGCACACTTAGTTTCCACCTATTTTAAATCTTTATTCTACTCATTAATTACTTAGCAAACAATAGCTAAGTATGTGTTGATTCTTACGTTAATTTAAATCTCATCATTGTTGCATGCTTTCACTCATCTTCATTCACATGTCTAGAGATACATCCTACTCACAAAGAGACTCATAACATTTTCATTCAGTCTTTCTATAATTTTAGTTTCATCATTAGCAAGTTCATTTTGATGGCCTCACACTTTTCTTTTGGCAACACTATTGCCTTTTGTGAGCAATGCATTTTTACACGATACTATTAGAGGTTTGATGGAAATTTCATAACTAAGTTAATGGTTTTCTAGGTTTTCTCTAATTCCATATTTATATCAGCTTTTCCTTCATTAGTTCCTCATTCAATTCTTTTGTATAGCCCTTCATCTAACCCCTTTTACTTCATGACCTATTATTCCTTGAAATTAGCCTTCTCTTTCTTCAATTTCCACTTTCAAATTTTCTTATTTCCTTCATTACACAAAATGGCATCCAACATGTCCAATTAATGCTCTCAAGCACAATAGTTTCCACTGCTCTTGAGCAGACAATCCACTTCCCCTTCCCTATGTTTTCACTGAGATTTTTTTTCTCCATTATCCTGCCCCTTGTTATCCTCGTAGTCAATTATAAAGTACACCAGGCAATTCTTTCTTCACATGATTGTTTTAATTGATTCTAAATAAACAGCTTTTGGGGGGCGTCTGAGTGTTACTCCTCGAAGCGTCTTTTTGGTCCAAAATGCAGCGAAGTATAGAATCTTTATTAAGCGGCCTCTGTTTCTGTACTTGGGAATAAGCTTCTTTGTGCATAGGGCTAAAAATAAGTCCTGGTTCCAAGTGGAGATATTGAAATGTGAAGTTCATAAGTATTTCTAGACACGTTAAGCTGAGAAGCGGATCCATTTGAATATACATTGATGTGCATATGTTTGTGTAACAAGCTATGCAATCTGTTTCAGTGGGAGTCCTTTATGACATACAGACAAAAGACCTGTAGGCAGGCTCCATGGTCAGCAGGTTGCTTCAATTAGGAACAGACCACTCAACTAGCACGTAACTGATTCTGCTGTTGCTGTGGGCAACTATTTTCTACCAGCTTTTAGAGCAGACCACACCATAAACTGATAAGAGCTCGAAGCGGCAGAGTATCACAGGATTACAGGCTGCCACTGAATGGTTGTCTGCTCTCTCAGCCATGCACATGCTAGAAAAGAAATTTAAATATGGCCATCTTACCGACTTTTTCTTCTTAGTACAGTTTGGTTTCCTGCAACTTGAGTAGTAGTTGAGGGCTGCATACTCCATCAGAGCAGCAAAGACAAATAGAAAACATACAGTGACAAACAAATCCATAGCGGTGACATAGGACACACGGGGTAATGACTTCCTTGCAATGGTGCTCAAAGTTGTCATGGTCAATACAGTTGTGATGCCTGCAGAGAGAAACCAGATTTAGTTGTATGCAGCATTTTTCAATGTTGCAGAAGAATCTTTGGAAACAAAGAAAAATCCCCCAGAAATCCAGACTGAATCCAAATAATTCATTAATTTCATTTGGTAATATGAAAAATTACATCAGTAGAGGCAGTAGAATTTTGTAAACAAAATTTTCCTCAGCTGTTTCTGTTCATCTTTTAAAAAGTGACATAAATATCCTGAAAAAATATAACCAGTCCTAGAATGAAATCTATAGGATGTCAGTTATTTGGCTGCTAGTACTTCATATAATTCCTCTTCATTCCTGAGAAACAGAAGTATTTTCATTCCCCCTTTGGACTGATACTTCATCATTTGCTATGAATAGCAAGCCTTCTGATAGAAAAAAATACAGAATTCCTCAATGGCTCAGGAAGAAAAATAAAGCTCTCACTCAAATATGTCTCAAGAGAGATCCTGCTCTAAAGCCAAAATAATCATAAGGTAATCTTTCTATTTATAGTTAAAGTGATACTTTGCAATGATACACAGTGTTTGAAATGACAGGGGATGACTGAAATTATGCCTTATAGAAAAATTACTTCCCACAAATGGTGCTCTGGAGAGGAAAAAATATCTGTTTATTACTTTTGACTACGTTATGTTTGTGAAGGAATGCCCACCTCTGATTTGTAGTGTTTAATATAAACTACAGCCATTCACATGAATAACCCTCCCCATTTAAACTATTAGACAGTCCCTGAAAAAGGCAGAAGGCAGATTATTGCCTGGGCCTCATCCTTCTTCTTCAATAAATAATAAATTGTAAACAAAATCAAACCCGAAACAAAGAAACAAAAAAAAAAAGTTGCTGCAAAACTCCACAACCCAATAATCAAGATGAAGTTAATGCTGATAGGAAGTAGGAAATGTGGGCTTTTCATGTACCTTCAACATCTAAAAGCTATGGGGAAAATATTTCTGTTTCCTGTCATCTGTGCTACTTTCCAATATAAGCGCGTGGCTGCCATGATCCAGCCTCCTCTCCAGATCCCTCAACATCAGTTCTGTTGCTAGCTGACGCTTTGAAAAAGCTCCAGAGGCAAACTCCATCCTTGGTCACTCATAGTAGTCACCTGCAAAGATGTCCAGGTGCAAAAGGTGTTGACTTACTAGCCTAGATTTGGCCCTTGCTAACTATAGATCAATTAGTTTTCTGTATGACCTTGACTCAGACCTTGGGAGTCACTAGCTTCAGAAGAACTGTACCCAGGCTATGACATAATCTACAATATGAAATTAAGTTCCTTAACACTTTCTAACACAAATCCATACTTTCATCTTTTTCAGAGCCATGTGCACATGCACCTGCTCTCAGGTATTTTACTACCTTCAAAAAATTACTCAAAACCTTTAGTTTTTTTCCAGCATGGTAAACAGTGTCTTTTTACCTGATCTCAAGGGAAAGCTTTTATTTCCTGCTCATCCCATGATAGGCTCTCATATTACTTTAGGACACTTTTTTAATTAAAAGGCTAACAAAGATCTACAGTTTTTCTACTGACTGTTGTATTGACAATGTAATATTTTTTCTGGAGGTATAACTTTGTATTATTTAGGACAAGAAGTATTGTGCAGTTATCTGTAATGACAAACAGCTCCCAGAGTGACTATGGACAGGAAGGCAGAGAAGTTGAAATAAAATTACCATTAATCTCTGTGCTTAAGTATAGAAGTCCTCAACTTGAGTCCTATTATCTGTGCCTTAAGCCTGAATGTGAATGCCTGCCTGCATTGTGCTTGAGAATGTGATAAACCTAGAAGCTCTGGGTGAGAACTAAACAAAACTAGCTCAGTAAGTCATGTTGTAGATACCTCACCGATGAAGAATCTGTGAGGTTTGAGTGGCTCTGGACTAATTGTGGTTGATTTAAACAAAGTAGGTTCTATTAAATTTATAGAAATAACAATGGTGTAAGCTTTATTTTGGTTTTCAGCTATTAAGAGTGTCCATCCTCAGTCTCTTTGACAGCAAAACATATTTGCTACAAGAATATAAAATCTTGGGGAAAGGAAAGTTTAGCATTATCACAACCACTGTAGTTTCTGGGCTATAAATCATATTTTGAATTATGACAAGGGCATGAGATAAGATTGCTGAACACAAAGACAGAAACATCCAAGAAGCAAAGAGCAAAGAGAAAGAAGGTGTACCAGATGGTACAGTTTTGTATTCCTATACATTTACCAGCTGGAATATAGATACGCATTTCTGAATAAAATGCAGCACCCATTATTTCTGAAGAGAATATCTACATTCCATGCCTGTAGCTCATTTTCTCTCTGAAGCTAAGAGAATTTAGTTGTTCAGTGGTTTCAAATGCAATAAACCTTGCCAGATGAAATAGTTAAGTCTCTCACTTTGGGGAGGACTGTATGGCAAAGTGAGCTTTGTGTCTGTTACTGAAGTTCACAGTGCTCATGAACTGTCTATTTCAACAGAATTTTAATATCAGGTAAGCACAGCTTTGAAGTAACGTGGCTTCAAAATTTTCAGGTAGACAGGTGTTAAGTGGGAGCTTCCAAGTTTGTGTATAAATACCATTTTGTGACATTTGTGTTCTCTGAACAACTTCCATACCAAAGACGCTATTTGATAAGTACAAAAGGACTGTCTGAGAGATCAGCTGATGCAGGGATACATAATGCATGAAAACACTTTAAATCGCTGGCCTAAACTGTTATTCAAAATTAGTTTGAAAGCTGCTACCTGGACAACTGTATGCAAAATGAGGTAGCAGGAGCTTCAGTGTTAGAAACTGTTTGGTCACCGAGGCTTATTTTTGCCTATTTTCCTAACGGTATGTTTGTGGGACACTGGAGGAAAGGTCTACTGCTTTTACTCAAGCCATCATTTTGTTTAAAAACCTAATTTCTCCACCAGCTCTCGCATGTGTTTAGAGCACTTGCTTGGTTTTCTAGTGAATGAGCTTAAGATAGAATGGCAATGAAGCGATACTCATCTTTTATTAAACATGATCTGTATCTGATTTTACATCAACACATTGCTGGCCTTGATACCCACTTTTTATTTAAACTGCAGTTTGAAGTTGCCCTGTAGTAACTACCTAGTCCTATTACATATTATACCCATTTTGAAAAAGTAGGGAGAAACTGGGATGAAAGCTTCAGTTTAACTTAATTCCCTCCATCTTCAAGGAAAACAACTGATTATTATTTTCCAGATCATGACTTTTCTTCAGATACTTGCTGGCTGCTCTTGACTATGAGCATTGGGAAAATATACTTTTGATTACTACAGACAAGCAGAAACAGCAGTGAGCTTTTTTTTTTTTTCCTCTTTGAATGGAGGGCAGAATAAGCTGCAATTACAAAACACAGTTCTCATCCAATACTCAAATTCTATTTCCAGTTTCCCACTGACTCTTCAGGTGGCCTAGAATGAGTCACACTGCCACTCTAGGCACCAGCTCCTCAAAGGGCATGTTAAAAAGGGACTATGATGCCAAGTTTTTAAAGAGCACTTTGATAAGTCTGGACAGTGCTGCTGAAAGGATACTTATGGTCCCATTTTTTCCTTCACAGCCAAATACTGCGATTTTTGGGTTTTCTTCCAGCACAGAAATAGCTTATTACTTAGTGTTATTCAGAAAGGGGTGAAACCAGTCCTTCATGTAACTGTGAGTAGCTGCCAATAGCTTTGGAAGTTACTCATTAATTTCAGAGAATGAAATATTTCCCTGATGCTTGCCCTTTATATTAATGCAGCTACACTCGGAGCAGGTTGGGGTGCACTGAGCCTACAATTAATTTCAACTAATTAGCAGAACAATTTCAGTGGTTTGCCCTTGGCTGTATTACAATTTCATCATGTGCCACTATACAAATGTGGATGTGTGCTATTGCTCAGACAGATTTGTAAGCTGCATTATATAAGCAGACCTACAGTAAACTGGGAACATCTCGTAGCTGCAGCCCAAGAGTCAATAGTCAGTCTGGTAACAGTCAGCCCAAGAGCCATTGCCAGTTTGGGAGCAACACAAATCTGGGCACAAAAAGAGATGACCCATGTACATATTATTTATTAAAAAGTTATATTTTAGCCCAGTAATTTAATTCTTCATCAGAGTTTTAGAAGGTAGTCATGATAGCCATTCAATATAAACTTGGAACATTTCACCTTAATATTCATATTTCAAACACATGATCTCAGTATAAGAATACATTTTTTGTCTGAAGTTCCTGCTGGCTGAAGGGGCAAGGCAGGGAAAGTCATACTGCAGTGACTAGTGATCTAGCCTATTTCTGTGTCTAATTAATTGGAAAACAGAGCTGTGTGGTGTGGGGAACCACCCTCAGGGACAGGGTACAAACATTGCTTGTGAAAAATCAGTAATGCAAACTGTTAGATACCTTTTCTCCCTTTTCTGTTATGCATTAAGAAGGATAACACAAATGGATGCTGTGTGACTCTGCACAAACATAGGCTTCAGACTCTTATTTAAAAGATGAAGCATGGTCAGTCTTCCCTTATCTCCACTGAGACACTGAATTTAAGAAGAAAGGAGCTCATCAGGTTACACTAAATGCCTATTGCTCAATTTTCTGGCCAGGGAGGCAAGTCTACACAGCCAGGAACAGGCAGTTTTTCAGCTGCTCTGTCCTCACCTTTGTATAGCCTTTTGAGCTATCCTGGAGGTAGATGGAGATCACAGAATAACTCTGTCTTAGGGTCTGTCACGTTGCTGGGGCCACAGCGTAAAGGCACTTTGGCACTCGCGTAAAGGGAGTGAGGACTGAAAACTTCTTTATGGGAAAATAACCTTAGACAACTGGACCCACATGATGTCACATGACTTACAATGGTCAGAAGTGTTACGCTTGTTAAATTTACAAACTTCTGGAGAAAATCCAGCAGGTTCTGCTCTTGTGCTGACCTCACACAAAATGGGTTTTAAGCAAGAAATATCTATAAAGTGTGAACCAGTGCTGGCTGCTTGCAGTCATCTTATTACAGGCTCTCTGAGACTTTTATTTCTACAGCTTGAGGTCACTGAGCTGCTCTTGGTTTGGAAGGATGCCCTGTGTCACTCACTAAGACTTAAAGCTGATACAACCTTTCATTAAGAAGATGCCTAAGGATTGAGTAGGAATGGCTGGGATATAGCTTCATTGCTTAAATAAAGCTGTGCCTAGTGAGGAAGTTAAGCTTAGAGGATATTTTTGGTAATATATTTCTTCTATCATTCAGCTGAAAGTTACTAAACAATTGAAGCATTAGAAGTTTTGGGAGGAATAATGTTTGTTACCCAGGGCTTATTGCACCCTGAATAGATGACTGCATGATTTTTCCATGAGTGAAAAACTTAGAAAGGGGGGTGAGACTTCCAGACAAGTTCAAGACACTTAGCCACTAAAATCTCATTCAGAGTGAATGGAGTTTAGAGGGTTTTTTAGCATTTCATTTTTCTTTTCCCCTTCAGGGCCTTCAGGAACATTATGGTAGAAACCACAGCACCCTCAGAACGGGTGGTTGCTCAGATTTATTAGTGCAGGAGAGAGACAGAAACAGGACAAGTAATTTTGTACAACTGTATAAAGGCCGCGAAGGCTGTATTGTCAAAGCTTCCTCTTGAGATGAAGTAGAGCATCTCTACATGGTGTTTGAAAGACATCTAACAGAAATGGATTCACATATAAGTAACTACTATTTCTAGCAAACGCTTAGTTACTTGGATGAAAAAAGGATGGGGAATACTGATGGCTCTTGAACAGCTGTATACGGGAGTGGGAAATAGAGGTGTTTTGTACAGATGGCCTCTCTTATACTATAGTTGAATGAAGGGTTGTTGGCACACAGCAGCACTTGAGAACACTGTGCTTGCTGCAGGCTGCCTCTGAAGAGATATAGCCTGTTTACAGCCCTTGTCCTCCAGTCATTCCTTGCAGCAGTATCACCCTGTCAAACCTGGATACTCATTTGCTCCTACAAATGCTTTCTGTCTGATTTCAATCCAAAAAGTCAGGCAGGTCAGTTTTAATAATATATTCTTTAGAAATGAAATGATTTAGACAGTCTAGGTGGTTAACTGGAGATGGTAACAAACTCCTGCAGGAACAAGGAAAGAATAGCTGGGAATGCTAAACAGGCATACCTGTTTGATAAACATATCAAACCTTGACATAGTTTCCCCTTTTTCTTAGACTGGTAGATTTGTGACTGAGTTATTGCTGGCAGCCCTGGCAACCACAGTCTGGACTAAAATGTTAGTTTTCCTTCAGTTCTGCTGTACACCTATTATATAGTCCTATACCCTTGATGCTGTCAAAGCATACAGGTTTTCCTATTGGCATAAGAACAAAAGGTCAACATTTGTAAGTATATCCTAAAGCATAATTACAAAATACACACATTTGTCCTGACATATGAGCTGCTGGAAAACCTATACCAGCTTAAATCTCCAGAGTCTATGAAAAATTTCTATACACCTAGTGTGGAGCTTAACTTCAAGAGCACAAGCTAAAACACTTTGCTTGAGTTAATATTATTATATCCCACAGTTTTATGTATATATAAGACATAATGCCCTGTGGGGGGAGAGTTTCAGAAGGGAATGAAACCAGCAGTGCAATTAATTTATTCTTCAAAAATGTCACTAAAATATCATAGTGAGAACAAGGAGACAGACATTAATTCTAGAATATTATGCTAGTGTCATTCCAAAGGGTCAGAATAGTTTACTCTTAATTACTCTATTAAAGGCAGAAAACTAGAGGCTTCAGTGGTAAGTAGCTGTGGGTCTGCAAGATGCGGTAACAGTAATCCAAAGCATATAGCCAGTGGTGTCTTTGCTGATATTTTCAAATGATAGTGAAGGAACTACACAAAAAGAGCAGGAAAAGGAATTATTAACAACTTACCTAATGCTGTTCTTGCTGGTGTGGCATCTTTTTTAATCCAAAAGGATACCCAGGAAAGAACAACTGTTAATATACAGGGAATGTATGTTTGAATAGTGAAGTATCCCATTCTTCTACTTAAGTCGAAGTATATAGTCATGACTACATAATCACCTGCAATAATAGCACAGAAAATAAATATACATTTTGGTGAGATATGGAAATTTGCTCACTGACCTGCTAATTTTTTAAAATTCATAAAAACAATGCATAAAAAAATATTTCTTAATGTTTTAGAGAAATTTTTGCAGTAATGCTCACATAAAATAGAATTTAAATAAACTTTTCCATTCTAATTTCCTTTAGTTTTAGGTGCCTGTGGAAATGTTGATCTATTTGGACAAGCAGAGTCTCTCAGTAATCATATTTGATGAGCAAATTTTTGAAAGGCATCTTGAATTTCAAGACTTGATATTTATGGATGGCTCCATGGCAATCATTTACTGGATTCTGTACCCAAACTGCACAAAATCCATCCTTCTGTAGGCTACGTCTTCCCTGCCTCAGTTTCAGGTTTGAGTGATTTCTGTCATCTTTTGCTATATCAGAATCAGGCAGTAGCAGTCTTTACGGGAAGTGTAGAATGCACATGATTATGGCTTTACATAAGTCATATGTAGGCACAAGTGCCTTAATGCTGGTAAAACTGTATGCTTGAAAGAACTCATAATTACAAATCAAGAGTCTCTTTTTGTCAGCATTCCTCCATTTCAAAACAGTTGTCACTTTTCTTATCTAAAACCTTCAGAAGGTGAGTCTGGATATAAAGTTTATTATTCTACTGTAAAAAGAAAATTTAAAATTACTAATAATAGTAAAAATCATAAAATCAAGAACTCAGTGAGAAGGCTAGTTTATCTCACATTATATGACTTTCTTCCATAGTATCTCTTTTGCTAACCCTTGTGACTCCACAAGGGATAATAATCTGTCCCTCTCTCTCTACTCAGTAGAGGCTACTGACCTTATCACCCCCCTTTTTTTACTGACAGCCCCCTCAGCTTCATAGATGTTAACTATCCTCTTCTCTCAGACAGTCACAGTGATTAACAGTAATGAAACTGAACAGAGACCAATTTCTGTACTTTGCTTGAAGTATATTACTTTCATTTCAGATATGAAAAAGAATTTATATGCCCGAGAACTGATCTTAAGGTCCTTTCCAACCCTAACTATTCTATGATTCTATGATTCTAACTGTTACGGGGTTTTGTTTGATGATGTCAGACTTGACCTAATAAATTATATTGTTTCTTGTTACAAGCTTTGACTTTATAGAATATGATATTTGAAGAAGCCCTGTGCAATATGTCAGTAAGTCTGTCCTACCGCAGCAAACCATCATGAGACTGAAGAAATTATTAGCATAGAAAGATGAATCTCCCAAGGAACGTACATGCAACTCACCCAAGTAGAGGCATACTGGGTTTATTAGATGAGGCGAATTAAAGCTTAATCTTCTAATAACAGAGCGCATATGAACCAATGCATTTAATACAGTAGATATTTTGACTGTAGCTAAATATTACATAGAAAAGAAATTAATTCAGTAAGAATAACTTCCTCCATCCAAAGAATCACTGAAGGCCACTGTAAAATGAGTGAACTACCATAAGCTACAAACTAAAATGTAAATAAAAATCTGAGAGTGGGATGTGGAGAGAGAAACTTAGAACTGTGAATCAAAGGGAAAAGTTCCCATGTGTTAAGTATATTGGTTTGAGATAGATCTATTTGGAAGAGGTTGATAAGTCTGTGGGTGCTTCCATCATGCTTCTGTTAGATGAATGTGTACATTTTCACAAGTACTGTGCCAATGAAAAGCATGTGACCCCAAGATGCTGAACTGACATTTCAGAAACCTTGTATATTTGGCATTATGGAACAGAACGATTGGTTCTGCCGGCTTATTGTTAGACTGCATCAGCTCCCTAATCTGTTTTGCTGCACTAGAGAAAGTCTTACGCCACAGCAAATGAGATAATTTCATAGAAATAAGTGTAAGAAATCAGAGGCTGTGTAAACCAGTGCTTCTACTGACAGTAACCAACCCAACAACCATGGGAAACAAAGATGTGATAATGTTTCAAACATTGTTGGTCAAAGCAAAAAAGGAAAACAAAGAGTCAATGAAAACTGTGCCAAATATTTGCATTTCCCTTACTCAGTTATTGTATCTAAAAATGCATGTCTACAAATAAGTTACTTGAGAATAGTATAAAGCAAAGCAATCAGCAAACTTTTCACTGTGTACAATGATACATGATAAATATGACTCAAGTTCATAGACAGGTCACTGCTCCTCTAAGTAATATGATCATGATATCCAGCACAGCAAATGGGAGTGGGGCTAGATACTGGACAGTAAGATACTGGGAAAGTAAGGCAAGAATCCCTGCTTGCAAAGTCTTCAACTGGAATAAACCTGACAAAGTGATAGTGGGAGGAAATTATGGCACATTTCAACTGTTTTGCAGACAGGAACTGAGGCAGAGACTGAATGATGTAGAGAGTCCATCATCATATTTAGCCATGAACTGATTCAGTATCTTTTAGGCAGGATTAATTTCCCCTCATTTTAGACATCTAGAAGGTAGATTCTACAGATGACTTGCACTCCGTCATTAATGAAGAGAAATTGGTACTTTCAATATATGGCTTGTCTGATCTCTTTTAGAGATACGCTTTTGTCATGGTTTAAGCCCAGCTGGCAACACAGAACCAAGCAGCCGCTCTCTCACTCCCCAACCCCCTTCCTCCCCCACCTCCCAGAGGGATGGGGAGGAGAATCTAAAAAATGTAACTCCCAAGGGTTGAGATAAGAACAGTCCAGTAACTAAGGTATAACACAAATCACTGCTGCTACTACCAATAATAATAATGATAAGGGAAGTAACAAGGAAAGAGAATACAACCGCTCACCACCTGCCGACTGATACCCAGCCCAACCCCAGCAGTGATCTAGCCCTTCTGGGTAACTGCCCCCAGTTCTACATCCTGGGCATGACATGCTGTGGTATGGAATACCTCTGGCTAGTTTGGGTCAGGTGTCCTGTCTCTGCTTCCTCCCGGCTTCCCCTGCTCCCTGGCAGAGGATGAGACTCAGAAAGTCCTTGGTCAGAGTAAACATTACTGGGCAACAACTAAAAACATTGGTGTTATCAGCCTTTTTCTCAGGCTGAAAGTCAAAAACCCAGCACTGCACCAGCTACTAAGAAGGAGAAAAATGACTGCTACTGCTGAACTCAGGACAGCTTTAGAAAGAGGTGAATGCACCCATAACATTTCCATTTCTCTTTTGTGATTGAAAAAGGAGTATGTTTGAATCAGATGTGGACAAAGACATTGTAGACACTTGAAAATGATCCAAGGAGTCAATCACACCCCTTGATTTAATGGTGAAAGCTAAAAAGTGCTACTTCTGTAGGGTGTTAAGGTTATTTTACCTAAATATAATTATCTCCTTAGTCTTTTGAAGAGTATTTTAGTTATTTTCCTCCTTTGTTTCATGGCTAAACTTGATCCCTTCATCCTTGAGGACATGCACAACTCCTTTGCTTGCTCCTCTGTTCTCCTCCACCTATCTTCTCTTCCTTCCTTCCTTCCTTCCTCCCTCCCTCCTTCCTTCCCTCCCTCCCTCCATCCCTTTCTTTCCTTCTTCCTCCCTCCCATCCTCCCTCCCTTTCTTCCTCCCTCTCTCCCTTCCTTCCTCCCTCTCTCCCTCTCTCCCTTTCTCCCTTCCTCCCTTCCTCCCTTCCTCCCTCTGTTCCTCCCTCCCTCCCTCCTTCCCTCCCTCCCTCCCTCCTGTCTGTCCATCTCTCTCCTGCCATTTATAACATCAAAACTTTTCATCTTTTCTCCAGAACATCCTTCCATCAAGCTAAATAAGGGAACTGTGACTTAGTCAAGTTTTACAAGGAGCTGCAAATTCCCAAATTATCCAACAAAGACCCATAGATATCTTACAAGTGCCCAATGAATATGAAATCCTAGCACACTAAGTGGCTATATTAACTTAGCCACTAACCTATTTTATTGACTGAGACCCATACAAAAATTCTCACAGTGAAGAAGGCAGACCCAGTCATACATGCAGCAGCTGTGCATATGGACTTAAATACTGTACCCTGTTTGCTGTACTCTAACTCATGGAAATATGCTGATGGATAGTATAGAAAGAAGTTGGGAGAACAATTTGGTTCAGTGGAATTATTGATGCAAAGTGGAAGTAAAAGGAGAATTTGCTGGTTCTCCTATAGTACTCTAACCATGCTTAGAGGGGATGCAACTCAGAGACAATGAATGTTGATGACAATGCTTTGTGTGAGGGGGAAATTACCGCTGCTGAAATGCACAGCCCCAGCTGGAAGCATCAGTGTTGTGACTGCTCTCAGAGGCAAGCATGCTTCTGTACGACATGTGCTGAATGCATTTTTTAATAGCTATAATAAATTTTAATTTTCAACTGTATTACCACTCCATTTCTTCTATCCTCAGCCAAGTCAACTTCTGATTAGATTCCTGAATTGTCTCTTTGCATACAGAAGGGCCTACATATATGTGCTATTTTTCTCACTGCACTACTCCAAACTGCATTATTATTATTAATACTATCATTACTATTATTGTTGTCTAAATGAATCCGTTCAGAATTAATTATTCTATATAAATCTAAAATCACTTCTCTGCAGCTTAAAGGAAAGTAGGCATGGTACATACATTTCTGACTTTCTCTATAAACACAAAATAATTTGTACAAAGAAGCTCTCATCTAAAAGACCTGACCTACAATTTATTATTCTGTATGTCCTGCAGGCATGAGCAAGCCAAAGGAAAAAAAAAATCTCTCAAGAACTCTGCACAGTGCTTCCTTGCTCCTTTGCCAGCCTTCAGAGCTCTACCTGCCATCACTCCCACTGCTAGGAGAGGAGCTGAGGCTGATTGTGCAGCAAAGCCCTGCAGCACAGAAAGATGGGAAAACCTCCTTCCAAACAGCATATCACTAAATCAGTGTACTTGGTTTAAAAGTAATCACGCGGTGATTGACTAGTAAGGGAACACTGGAACAACTAATACCACTTTGAAACCCAGAGAGGAGTTCTATTTTTTAACAG